AATTTTATGAAAATTTACTTAATTTTGCATAATTTTCATTCTGTGCTGGAGAGGACTTAATTGAAAAAAGTCACAATCTTTTGGAGTAAATTGTAAAGATATGAAATTTGAGGATTAAATTGTGCAAAATCCAAAAGTAAGGGGTCGGGACTGTAATTTTACCGTTAACAGAATTTGCAGAGAAGGACAAAAACCCGACACGGACTCTTCTGGACGGATGCAGGAAAAGTGTCGGCACCTTGTTGAGGGTGTTGACACCTTGCAGCTCATGCTGCATATCTTGCAGCTTGTGCTGCATATCTTTCAGCTCATGCTCGACTTTTGCACCTCATGTTCAAGTTCTACACTTCATGCCCGGCCTCTGCAGCTTGTGGCTGACCTCGGTAGTGAGTGTTTGAGCTCTGCACTTCGTGCTCGACCCCTGCGCTTTGTGCTCAACCTTCGCAGCTCATGGTTGACCTCGGCAGCTCGTGTTTGTGCTCTGCAGCTTCATGCTTGACCTCTGCAGCTTGTGGTTGAGCTCAGAAGCTCGTGTTGGAGCTCTGCACTTCATGCTTGACCTCTGCAGCTCGTAGTTGAGCTCGGAAGCAAGTGTTGGAGCTCTACAACTTGTGCTCAAGTTCTGCACTTCGTGCTCGACCTCGGCAGCAAGTGTTTGAGCTCTGCAGCTCATGGTTGACCTCGGCAACTCATGTTTGAGCTCTGCACTTCGTGCTCGATCCCTGCACTTTGTGCTTGACCTCGGCAGCTTGTGTTTGATTTCTGCACTTTGTGCTCGACCTCGGCAGCAAGTGTTTGAGCTCTGCAGCTCATGGTTGACCTCGGCAACTCATGTTTGAGCTCTGCACTTCATGCTCGACCCCTGCACTTTGTGCTTGACCATCGCAGCTCATAGTTGACCTCAGCAGCTCGTGTTTGAGTTCTGCACTTCGTTCTCGGCCTTTGCAGCTCGTGCTTCAGCATCCCGCACTTCGTTCTCGGCCTTTGGAGCTCGTGCTTCAGCATCCTGCACCTCGGACTTCTGCATTTGAGCTCTGCAGCTCGTGGTTGAGTTCTGCACTTCGTTCTCGGCCTTTGCAGCTTGTGCTTTAGCATCCCGCACTTCGTTCTCGGCCTTTGGAGTTCGTGCTTCAGCATCCCGCACCTCGGACTTCTGCATTTGAGCTCTGCAGCTCGTGGTTGAGTTCTGCACTTCGTTCTCGGCCTTTGCAGCTTGTGCTTCAGCATCCCGCACCTCGAACTTTTGCATTTCGCAGCTCGTGATTCAGCAACTATCATTTCAGACTTCTACAGTTCGCAGCTCGTACTCAAGCAAGATGCTTGCTGCTCATCATTGTCGAGCTTGAGTAACGGAGCCCAGCCATAGTCGGCCCGGCCATAGTTGCTTAGTCTTCTTCTGTCATTGGAACCATAGACTTTTGTTCCCTAGCAGCTGATTAAAGGGATTTTCACATTGGCAAGCTTTTGGCTGAGAGCTGAGACTGCAGTTCTTTATGAGCAGAGGATAATGGTATTTCGGGAATCTCAGACTTTGATGACGGGGATGGAGAGCTTGAGGCATTGGCGGATGGCGCGGGTGGCAGCAGCCATGTGAGCGGAGAACCAGTTGATGACTCCACCATCTTTGTTGAATGCCATCTCCCCCAACTCCATGCCTTTCTTCACCACACCCTCCAACCCCATTTCTGTTTCCTTCATTTTCATTATCACCAACTGAATAGATAAGAAGTACATTTATGGTTGAAGAACAGAGAGGCACA